ACCGGCAGAGACCCCTAGCGGTCAGGGGGAGGATAGCAGCTGGCTGGGGTCCGCCCCCGCACAGCCCCCACTCCCTCCGCCCACTCACCCCTCCGCCCACCTTCGCACAAAATAAGTCCTAGCGAATGGCACTGGTTTTTCTACAGCCCTCGGCTGGAAGGAACTTTGCAAGGCAGTCCAGTTCATTTTGTTTCACAGGCATCCTAGAAAGAAAAATTCCACCTATTTCAGAATAGCTTAAAGGGAAACTTCTCACTTCTTTCCTTCAGTCCTACATTCTTCACGCATCACAGTTTTGTTCAGGAATTTCTTCCTTGAGTGGAAACTAAGTATCCCTGGGCAGCTCAAGCCCTTTCCCTATTAGCAGTGAAGGACTATAGCTCCCGGGACATACCACTCTCCCTAGGCTGACATGAGTCCACAGTCACTGTCAGTCCATGTGCACCCTGTCCCCTTCCCCCACTTTCAAAAGTTATCCTAGGGTCATTCACTGTTTCTTAGTAAGGTTCCTTTTGAACAAGTCATCTTTTTGTGTTCCAAAAATGAGATCTGGAATAAAACTGACCCAGTGACCATGAGGTCAGGAACAAGTGACTGGTGGGCACAGGGGTGGGGTGTTGCAGTTTGCCCCCTGGGTGGCACTTGGGAGGCTTCTAGCCATCCTGAACCTGCCGCCCCACCTTGCTCTGCCCCTTCTGAGCGACTCTTTGCCTGTGTCTCAAGCAAACAGTGTGCAAGGAACAGGAGGGGACAGTTCCCAGGGATGTCTGTGGAGCCCAGCTTTTTGGTTTCCATCTGATTCCCAGGCTTCAGGCCATTCCCAGAGGCTTGGGGACACCACAGCTGTGTTCCTGGTGGAACAAGGCAAAGAGTTCTTGGGTGGATGACCAGCTCTCAGCCGCTGGCTCCTGAGCAATCTGAGCAGAGATGTGAGACTCTGGATGCTGAAACCTGTCACTAGAACTGTACCAAATGTGCTTCTCGCCTTTTTATGGGCACTAAGGAGCCTAGAGGGAAGCAGCTCTGTTTGTGTTTAGGCAGAGCGGCATCCACCTGGGTTTGGAGTCTGAGAAGCCCCCAGGGGAAGCTGTTGAGAAGATAATAAAACTGTGTGTTCTGCCAACATGCTGTCCCCAAGGGGCTTCCACTGCTGCCATAGGAGCTCCTTCCTCAGAAGAGACCTGTAGACTGTTGATCCCAGACATTCAGGGCCCCATTGTCTCCATTATACAGAGCTAGAGACTAAGGTTTGGCTTGAAATGACAGCAAAGTGGAGTCACGAAGCTGGTCTGAGACAGGGACGATGCTTAGAATTATGGGGCGTGGCCGTGACCCAGGAACGTCTTAGGCAGGGAGGCAGGAGTGAAGGGGCACAGCAAGTCTGTACCACTCTGGCTGGGCATGTAACCCCAGCTGAACCTCTTCTGTTGCTAAGTAAAGAACCCGAGCGTCTCTAGGACTTCTAGGACAGGTTTTAAATCCCGGCTGTGCCACTCCCTCATTGAGTGACCTTAGCCAAAGGAAGTGGGAAATAAATTATCAGGTGGCTGGATGTGCCAGGCACAGTGCTTGCACGGAAGCCTGTCTGACCCCAAAGCACGTATTCTCTCGCTGTAAGCATCCGTCCTGCACTCTGAGCCAGAGGATGTAGGTTTGAGGAACAGCTATTTGACTCTTGGAAGTGCTTCCATTCTCTGCACCTCAATTTCTATTCGGGCAAGAGGAATAATCTCTCTCCTGCTAACCCCATAAGGCTATGGTAAGATTACAATGAAATGGAATGGTGAGAGAATGCTCTGTAATATTCAGTGAGTATGGTAAATAGGTAGTTTCCAGACCCTTCTGATCTTTGGGACCATCTAAAGGAGGTTTTTAAAAATACAGGTTGCTGACGTCTGAGCCAGTGGCCCTAAGAACGTGTCTTTAAAAACACCCCAGTGCTCAGGCAGGTTTGTGAAACAGCTCGTGTTTACAGATGTAAGGGACGAGTATCATTTCTCCAGACCTCAAGGGTGCCAAGATTTTGCTTTCTCTTTCTTGCCCCAGCTAAGATGTTGCCAGTCCTGGCCCTGCCCGTGGTCTCTACCTCTCAAGTTTTCCATTCCATCCTTTGCTGATATAATTTGGCTGTGTCTCAGCATCCGCCGGCCAAAGACCCAGAGGAGGGGGAGAAGGGTGGAAAAGAGAAGGATTGATCCAATGCATAAATGCTTTCAGTCACCCAAACCAGGGAAGTTGGTATGGAGGCCATCCAAGCCACAAGGTAGAGGACCAGCCAGAGTGTGTGAGCAGATGAACATTCCAGGTGGTGCCTCCTCTGCCTCTGGCTACTAAACAGTGTGTGTTGGTTGAATCCCAAGGGACACATCTTGTGTTTATTTTACTGACTTTGCTTTTATTTTCTTAACCTTGCTGGATACTTTTTTGAGGTAAAGGAAGTCTGGGACAACTTTTTATGTTCGAAATTCTCAAATATCCCTACCAAAAGAGGAGCACCATAGCATGGATGATTCCAAATGAGACACTTGGAAAGTTATTTCTGTTGGTTTTAGGGCGAATGGCATGAAGGTACCTCCTCTACTAAATGTACCTTTGAAGTTTGCTTCAGCTTCAAAGAACATCAGGACTGGTGTGCTTCCTGTGAGATTGGTTGGCTGGGAGGTTGGAATGAGGGGACCTCAACCTTGGAGCAGCCTCGTAGCTGAAAACTCAGGCTTTAAGGGCTTGGACATCCACCCTGGGCCAGACACACTTTATAAATAAGGAGATGAGGCCCACAGAAGGGTCATGACTTGATTCCCAAACAGATCATCTTTCCTCTGGCCCCGTGCCTCTTCTGGACTTCTGGTGTTGGTTGTTTTTATCTGCTCACCTTACCTTCGATGACTATTTATTGAACCCCTATGATCCAAGGAGCACCTTGCAGCCCCGAGCACCTGGCGCAGTGTGCTGTTCAGTATTTGTGGGTGAAGCAGAGCCATGTTCTAGTCCTGCTGATGTTAACCAGCTGCATGGCCTTGGGCAAGTCACTGAGGTCTCCAAACCTCAACTTCTTATTTGTGCCTCAGGGAGTTGGAATATGTGGCTTTTATAGACTCTCTCAGTTTCTAGGCTTCTGCATGTTGACTTTGACTGCATGGATGGAAAGACCAAGAGTTCTGCTCAAAGAATAAACCTCACAGAGCCCTGGGAAGGGGAAGCCAAAGCAAGAGCTGCCCTCTCCCTCCCCCGATGTCACACTCTCACCGGGAATAGAAGCAGGGCCTCCCGCTGCCCCCCACCCAGAGGAGCCAGACCATGAGGCCCCGTGCAGCAGGAGGAGGAAGAGCTGGACTCTGGGCTTCCTAATGCTGCTTATTTATAGGTCATATTCCTCCAGCTCTTGGGCCAGGTTCAGTCCAGAAGCAAAAGAGGCTGCTCTGGAGGAGATGCCAAGGGGGACTTACTCAGCTGAATTGAATGGGATGTATAAATCGGTGCTCACTTCCACTTCCTGAGAGGCTCTGCCAACTTCCGTGGTGCCAGGGACTGGGAGGAGATTAGCCATGGCCATCTCCTGGGGTTGTGCCACTTTGTGTGTTGCTACCGGCAGGCAGTTGTTGGCTTGAGGTTTCCTCCAAACACAGGTTTCTCCTCGTTCCAGACTCTGGACTTTCTCTGGAGGCTGAAGACCCAAGCTTCTTCACATCCTAAAGCAAAAGCTAGGAAGCGAGGGGCCTTCTTTCCCCTGGATTGTCTGTTTTCTTGATGATTTACCTGTCTCTGAATCCTTGCAGTTCCTACTTATGATTCCGGCATTTAAGCATGGGAATGGCAGCCTAAATGGCCCTTGGACCTGCAAAGTGGGGCAAGCCCTGTTTTCAGATGAGGAACCCTGGTGGGGAGGAGCCACAGACCCAGTCAGGTGCCTCTGCACCTCATTTGCACCTTTCTAGCTTTTTCCAATCTGGAGACTGACCTCTCACACATCCAGTTTTTTCTTCACAAACTTTCTCCGAGCACCTGGCCTCCAGGCACAGGTTTCCCAGAAAGCAGGGAGGGCCAATTACTTCTTCTTGGAAGCCTGCAGCCAAGCCTCCTTCCCCTGATCTTGGGAGTCCCTCAACATCAAGTCCAAGGACTTCCTTACCCAGCTTTTAAGTGGAAGTAGTGAGGGGAGTGGGGTGACAGAAAAAATTGTCACCTTGGCTGCCTCGGCTACTGCAAAACAAACTGCAAGGACTGTCTACTGGTTGACAGTGTGGGGCAAAGGAGACCTGTTCCCAGTGAATTATGTGTTGGCAGCTTGAGGAAGAGAAAAGAATTGGTGACATGTGCTGAAGGTGGCTCCTATAAGGTACCTTAGAAGACAGTTTATGCAGAGGGTAGGGTGGATTTATTTATTTTTTGACAAATATTTTAGGATCCTGAGCTAGTTGCTAAGGATACAGAGGTAAACACTGGAGGCTGCTTTGTGCATGGAGTTCAGTGTAATAGGTGCTGTGGCAGAGGTATGTGAAAGAGAGGCACTGAGGGAGGGGAGGGTCAGAGAAGACATCTGGAGACAACTGAGTCTGAAGGATGAAGAGGTGCTGATCAGGTGAAGCAAGGTTCTGAGCCCTGGCTGAACGTTAGAATCACCTGGGGAGCTTTATAAACCCCAAAGCCCATGACACACCCCGACCAATTAAATTAGAATCTCTGGGGTTGGAACCCAGGCATAATTATTGGAGATTTCAAAGTGTAGCCAAGGTGGGAACTACAGGTTTGTGGCATAATTTGTGTCTCAGGCTTATGGGGATATGGAATGATTAAACGGCTGACTATTTGTTTTGTGCTTTTTATTTTAATATTGAGCCTTTTTATTCACTCTTGCTAGGAAGCCAGGAGAATTGCCTTCTGGATTTGAGTCTGGGGAGGAGTAGGGAGGAGGGAATGCAGGAAGGGGAAAGGGGAGAGAGGGACTGTAGCATCTAAGCTCTCAGTGACATTGTCACAAACCACGCCTCCCTTACTGCCAGGACCTCCTGCAGAATTCCCCCAATTCCATGTCTGGAGTCTCCAATAACCCCCAGGGGATTGTGGTCCCAGCCTCAGCGCTCCAGCAGGGCAACATCGCCATGACAACCGTCAACTCACAAGTCGTGTCAGGTCGGTGCAGGGAACAGGGTGCCGGGGATTGTGGGGAACACCCTGGGAGGAGAAAGGTGGCCCCAAGGGAATTCCAGGGGTGGGGGTGTCCTCTGCCAAGGGAGGGGCTCCCAGCTCAGCTTGTTGACGAAAGTGTTCTGTTAGTTTATACGTGGTCCGCACCAAAGCCCGATTGTGATGGTTTGGAAGAAATTTGGGTCAAATTCTCATGAGTCCCCCCAAAATCAAGTAAGGCTCCCCTCCTTTCCCCCAAACACTTCCCACCAGAGGCTCTGCTCTCAGCTGTGGACACCATCCCCCACCCTACCCACTTCTCCTCTACAAGTGGAAGAAACATACCTTGATACCCGAGGGCTCCAGAGTAGAGGGTCTTTACATGCAACTGCCAAGGGAATTGGGAACCCTGCTTGCCCTCACTCCTACCCACACCCACGGCAGGGGACCCAAAAACTGGTTGTCTCCTCAGGTGGAGCCTTATACCAACCGGTTACCATGGTAACCTCCCAGGGTCAGGTGGTCACCCAAGCAATCCCCCAGGGAGCCATCCAGATCCAGAACACACAGGTGAGTGTGTGTGTAGGTGTGTGCACTTGTGCATGGGAATGGGGTAGGACTGCCAGAATTGCACATTCTCTGCTAGGCACTTACACAGATAACTCATTTAATTCCTCATTATTCCTCTAAGAGGTCTCATGACCCCTACTTTACAAATAAGAAGCTGGGTCTCGGAAAGGTTTTATCAGCTCCTGGGATTTTGCTGCCTCCTGGGGTTACATCAAAGTGTCCTGCACCTCCTATTCCTGGTCTCTAGACTGAGACACTATGTACCTCAGTGGTACAAAGTGCACACATACAAGAAGAGTAGAAAGATCTGAAGGCAGTGGCCTGAGATCTGACATCGACTCTGTCATCTTGGATAAGTCACCCCACCTCTCTGAGCCTTACAGTTCTTATCGCTAGAAAGGGGATTAATGCCCACTGCACGCAGTCCCACCAACCTACAGGGCTGTTGTGAGGATTAACCACAATGATGGATAGGAAAGTGCTTTGCAAACTGTAAAGTACCACAGAAATGCTAATAACTAGGACATGGCTTACGGAAAATTCATCTTCTATACTCTCTGCATGACCCTGTCTCCTCTATATCCTTTCTCATCCGCCTTTTCCTCTTTCCCCCCTCCTCCTCCTCCTCCTCTTCCCTCCTATCTCTCCTCACCCCAAGTCTCATCTCCATCCTCTGAGGGTCTGGTGTGGGCTGAGAGGGAAAGGTGACCTCCCCAGGGCCCTAAGAGTGAGTTGGGAAGGGGGTTGGCAGCCAGAGCCTGCTGTCACCATGGCAGCAGGTCCCTCACCAGCCTCACAGGCTGCTGATGCTGATTTTTTCTCCACGTGCCCTGAAGGTTAACCTTGACCTCACCTCCCTCCTGGACAATGAGGATAAGAAGTCCAAGAACAAACGAGGAGTCTTGCCCAAGCATGCCACCAATATAATGCGTTCTTGGCTCTTCCAGCATCTCATGGTGAGTGTGTGTATCCTGGGGGTGTGGAGTCCCAGCGTGAGGCTTTCATAACCCACAGCGTGGGCACCAGACTCTGCTTCAGATCCAAACCTGCAGAGGGCGTGGACTTAGAGCTCTCTGACAGGAATATCATCTAGGGGCCAGGTCAGGGGAGGCTTAAGTGGGCCCTAGAGCTGGGAGACTGTCTCTAGTGCTTGCTTTTTTGAGGCAGCTACATGTCTTGTTTCATGAGCAAGGTGAGGTTCTAGAGGGCAGGGGTCATGGCTACGGGTCCAGAACCCTCCACCTGCATGTAGCCACGCTCACCCCACCCTTCTCCCATGCAGAACATGTCTGCTAGGACTCTGGAATCTTTGAGGTTGGGGGAAGCAGAAGGGGTGTGTCTGTCTCCCTCTGGATCAGAGCAGCTGAATGAGGCATGGTGTAAGGGGGCAGTGGTTGAGAGAACTCAGTCTGGAGGGGCAGCCTGGGCTGAAATCCTGGCTTCTCCCATCACCAGCTCTGCTCTGTTTTCATAAGCTTCAGTCACCACTTTTGAAAATGGCACAATGCCTTGGGTTTTTTTTTTTGTTTTTTTTTTGTCTTTTGTCTTTTTCCGTGTCCGGCAACGGATCGCAACCCTCAGTGTTGCCCCCGTACCGGACCGGGGACCGGCAACGGGATTGCAACCCTCGGTGTTGCTCCCGCGCCTCGCTCAGCCAGTGAGCAGGAACCGGTCTGTATGTGGGATCCGAACCCTCGGGCGGGAGCGCCGCCGCACTTCCCAAGTGGCGCACTTATCCAGTGCGCCACCGGGCCGGCCCCAATGCCTTGGGTTTAAGTGGAGTGTTTATAAAGTGCCTACTGTGTGCACATACATGATTTGTTTGTGTGCAGTGTTAACTGCAAAAAGACAAGCCTTTGGTAGAATGTCAGGAATGACTTCAAAATTATAATCCCCTTGCACCTGTTTCAAGAGCTGTAGCAATAAATACAGGCTAATGAGTGTGTCTGCACTGATATTGTGTGTGTGTGTGTGTGTGTGTGTGTGTGTGTGTGTGTGTGTGTGTGTGTGTGTGTGTGTGTGTGTGTGTGTGTGTGTGTGTGTGTGTGTGTGTGTGTGTGTCGTGGGACGGGGAGGTAGATTCTTTGAGCACAGGCAGGCTTCCAGCAGTCTGCAAGCTCTTGGTCTGGCAGGAGAGTACATATACACAGATACAAGACAAATGCCAAGTGACTATGGACACATTGGCCTGAGAACTGTGGGAAGAACCAGGAATAAGGGGAAATACTTCTTCAGAGAGAGGAGAGAAGTCAACTGGATCATGGAAATTGATGAATCGATCAATCGATTGACAGCCCTTTATATAAAATGGGAGAGCCTGCAGAAGCCATGGAGACTAGGCCTAGGCAGTGGTTCTCAGACTTCAATAGCAGCAGAGGACTGACCATGGTCTTATGGATTCTGATCAGAAGTGCTGGCCCCATGCACCCAGCGAGAAAGAAGACTCACTGTGTGCAGTAGATGTGAGGCTGGAGCTCTGCCGCTCCACACAAGGGCCCACCCAGTTCTAGTGCCCTGGGGCTGCCCCCCTGCTTTGCTAAGTGAGCACATTCTGAAAGCACTGCCTAGTTTGGAACCCTAGAGTTTCCAAATTAGAAAGCTAGTTTGGAGAGAAGGGGCCAGGAGGCTGAAGAGATCCCCAGAGGAAGCCAGGGGACCAGGGGCAGGTACAGAGTCAGGCTGAGGCAGCAGCTCTGACTTAATGGCAGGAACTTGTGGTGGGGATGCCCAGGTTTCCTGCCTGTTCCAGTTTTTCAAATTGTCAGAGTCAGTTGGCTCAAATGGGTTTGGTGGCCCTGTGAGCCCAGGGTCCATGCTACAAACCCCAGATTACCCATAGGATGAGGGCCTCTCTAGGGCGGGATCTGTCTTTTGTGCACTGACCTGTCACAGTGTGGGCTCCCCCAGGCCAGTGGATCTAAATCTGGCTCCACTCACTGTGGCGTGATGCTGTATCACTGCAGGGTCATAGCTCATGGGCTTTTGAGGCAGCCATACCTGGGTTCCAGTCTAGGCTTTACCTCCTGCGCTGTGGCCTGGCCACACTGGCCTCTTGTGCAGATCATGATAAAGTGGTGAAATACTCACAAAGACCTTGCACCTGGGGTGCTTAATGAACGTTAGGTCCTTTTCCTTCCCCTCCTCCCACCCTCATGCATTTTTGAGGACTGACACAACACCTCCAATCTCACTTCTGAGGGGAGAAAGGCAAGTGAAATAGAGAGAGGAGGCTGCAAGACAAATCCCCTGCCCAGGTGCTGGGCCAGCACCTTCCCTTGACTGCCATCACCCCACCTTGGGGGCCCCGCCATGGCACCCGCCTCTCCCCGCATGCAGCTCACCCCGAGAGTCTTTAGCCTGAGACTGGAGGGTCACCAAGCCCAGCCCCTCCTGGCTGTGCCTTGCCTCTCACCTTGGACCTCAGTTCACATCCTGCCCTCTCACCCCCTTCCCTGTGAGCCTCCCTTATGGCGCAGGGTTTCTTTCCACTCCACGGTCACTTCCAACCTGGACTTTGGAAGGCAGAGGAAGGGACAGGTGCAGAAGAGAGGGACAGTAGTAGTGAGCACAGAGCAGAAAAGAAGGAAGGACCCAGGTTGGCTCTAAAAAAACAAAAAGGACCTGGGACGATGTAGAGGACTTGCCAAAAAGCTATTCTCTCCAGCCCCAGAATGTCCGCAGGTGCAGGTGCTGTTAATAATGCACTTATTGACAAAGTCCTCTCTGATTAATGCCTCTATGACAGAGGCCCCGAGTAAGGAGAAGGGCATGACCACAGAGCCTCTGAAGTCTTAACTCAGAACTTCTTGATGGAGGGGGAGGAAGAGAATGGAGAGAAGTCCAGGCTACTCCAGGGGCAACTAGAATGCCACACTGTCCTCTGCAGACTATGGCCAGGCCACACAGCCGGGCCTTCCCCAGAGCAGCCTGGCTATCCACACATAGGTGGACACACAGGCCCCAAACCCCCGCTTCAGGAAAGAGGCTCTTGGTGACCAGACACAGTGGGAGACAGGCTTTGAAGCCTGATGGATCAGGCATGAACTGAGGGTCGCCCACCAACTGCGTGATTACTCTGCTTCTGTTTATTTGGGAAAAAAGATAACATATGGTTGTGAAAATTAAATGAGATAATATATAAAAAAGCCAAGCCTGTCACACAGCACTTAAAAAATAAATTCCCTTTGAAGTTTCTAGAACAGTGGACCAAGAGCAAATTTTTTGAGGCAGAGGCCCGAAATTTATGAAAATTAATTAGAGGTGGGTAGCAGATCTGTCGTTTCAATCTATAACACCTACTGATTTTGCCATCACTTGGCCTAAGTATACTAATACCGTTACTTACCCACTCTGTGCATATATATATGTATGTGTCATATCTATATGTCTCATATCTCTGTTGTAAATTTCTAAAGAATAGGGATCATACATTACACTTCTGTGGGCCCTACAGCATTGATTCTCAAGGTATGTACCTTTATAGGACTTACTAGGTGTTGCTCCCCAAAAGGGGTTCCGTAGTGAAATATGTTTGGGCAAATCTGGATTATACAAGGTTTAGCCTATTTCTTTATTGTTAGCGAACTGAGGAGCATTGTGAATTTGCAAGAGGGGTAAGGTTTGAAGCTTCTCCCAAACTAACTTGACCAGTCTATGGCACGCTTGTTTTCACTGCCGCTGTGAGGAACGACCCTGAGACTGCAGCCCCTGGGGAATGGCCTCTGTGGCAGCACCGTACTGGCAGATAGCAGCTGCTCAGTTTGGGGAAAGAAGAGTAGAAAAGCCATGGAGTAGGGACAGACTCCAGTGTGCCATCAATGTTCTCATATCCAGTGCAGTTGGGACAACGAATGTGTTGGTCAATTAATTGGAAAAGTTGCTTTAAAAAAGGAAAAGCCATTCAAAAGATACATTTTAGGTTAATTTAAAAGATATACATATATATTTGTTTGCTAATCTTTTGATGTAAGGCCAAGGTTTTTTTTTTATTATTAAAGTTTGTCATTTTATTTGTATAAACTTCATCTATAAATCCCATCTTTATTTAAAGTGGAATAAGAACTTTGACATTTGGAAACTGATCTGGCTACAGTATCTTTCTAGATCTTTATTATGTATTCTCATCTCTTAACGTTGGTCTCTGGTCTTAACTACTCAGCATGTTTAAGCAAATGAGCCTCAAGTCTTTATAAAGCTTACTACTTAGTTTTCTTAGCAACAATAACTCTTTCTGGGGCTGACCCCGTGGCTCACTTGAGAGAGTGCGGAGCTGGGAGCGCAGCGGCGCTCCAGCTGCGGGTTCGGATCCTATGTGGGGATGGCCGGTGCACTCACTGGCTGGGCGCGGTGCGGGCGACACCAAGCCAAGGGTTCCGATCCCCTTACCAGTCACACACACACACAAAAAAACAAACCAATAAATCTTTCTTTTTGCACTTATATTTCATTGGTTTATAGAATAGTTCACTAAATTACATAATTACAATAATACATGTAATTGGCATAAACCAGTCTGGATACAAACACTGCCCACTTCCAGATAAGCAGATAATTTGGCAAAAAAACAAACCAATAAATCTTTCTTTTTGCACTTATATTTCATTGGTTTATAGAATAGTTCACTAAATTACATAATTACAATAATACATATAATTGGCATAAACCAGTCTGGATACAAACACTGCCCACTTCCAGATAAGCAGATAATTTGGCTGATGAACATTCTACAGAGTAGCCTATTCACCTCAAGCATTCAGCCTCCTGTGGACAGCAGTTCTGATGGTTTACAGAGGCATGGAGCACACTGTATTATCTGCAGACTTTGCTAACTAGAGTTTGGTTATGAGAATGTCTATAATAAATTCTGATTTTCCCTGTTGCCATCTTTCCCTTCAGGCAGAAGTGAGTCCTCTTTGGATTCCTTTGTCCTGTGTCCAGGCTTCTTGTCATTTTCACT